ATCTGTCGGCGAGTATTGATTTAAGTTTCCGCCGCAGACTTGGGACACTCGCCGACAGATGTCGCGCGCACGCAGTGTTACCGCGCGTTACTGTTGCTTGACGAACAGTTTCAGCGTTTTGCCGCTGCACGAAAATGGCGCTGTTAGGCTGTTTGAAAGCAGCAGAAAATTCGTGCCGGATTTTATTTTATCTCTTATGTACAAAGTGGCACGAATCATTTGCTCCGATATTTCATATTGGAACATGAAATGGAAAATTGTTTATAACTAATGGATTACAATTCATATATACAACAAATGGTTATGGATACAATGTTAGGGATCTCTTCTGAAACTTTTACTGGTAGAAATACAAATAATATCGAAATTACATCGAAAAGAAGAATCAACATTACGATTCATTCCATTCTTGTGCCCTGCAGAACCAGAAAAGAAGTAAAATGCCACGATCTCGAAGAACCACGACAATGGAAGATGTATGTTAGCCATACCTGAGGTACCTCCGCCAGCATCACCAGCACCGACATCGTGACCACTATTTCGAACAACAAATGCAACAAATTCTAATCTAATTAATGTATACATAATATAATCTACATAATAAATATATAATTATAATTCAACTATTGTATTCTTTATTTATCACCTTCCTCTCCCAACCTGCCACTCCCTTTCACACTTCTATCCTCATTTGTCCATCGTTTCCACAGTTCTTCAACAATCAACGCAATTTCTCACTCTCTCACTCTCTCGCTCCCACACTCACTCTTCTCACTCTCTCTCCCTCTCTCTCTCTCACTCTTTCTTCTCATCCTCCTCTAAAATTCTAATACCTCTTCGCACATCATGTGCTCTGATACAAAATCCAAAATTTTCCCGAAATTTTCCGAAAAATTGCCTTGAAAGAAGTACAAATCAAAGTCAAGCCAGACATCGAGTTTAGAATACCTCCTCGCATATCATGTGCTCCTGATACAAATTTTCGAAATTTTTCCGAAAATTTCCGGGAAAAGTAGTACGAGTCAACGTTGGGCCAGACATTCGAAAGAATACCTCCTCGCATATTATGTGCTCCTGATACAAAATTCCGAAAATTTCCCGAAAATTTTCGGAAAAAGTAGTACGAGTCAACGTCAGGCCAGACATTCGAAAGAATACCTCCTCGCATATTATGTGTTCCTGATACAAAATTCCGAAAATTTCCGGAAAAAGTAGTACGAGTCAACGTTGGGCCAGACATTCGAAAGAAAATTTTGAAATTTTCCCGAAAATTTCCGGAAAAAGTAGTACGAGTCAACGTTGGGCCAGCCATTCGAAAGAAAATTTCGAAATTTTTCCGAAAATTTCCGGAAAAAGTAGTACGAGTCAACGTTAGGCCAGACATCGAGTTTAGAATACCTCCTCGCACATCATGTGCTCCTGATACAAATTTTCGAAAATTGTTAGGTATTTCGTTTTGTCGAAATTTCAGTAGTACAAGTCAATAATCGGCCAGGCAAAGAATTTCGAGAATCCTCTTCGAAGAGTATCATGTTCTCCTGATATAATTAGCAAGTAGTTTATGTCAATGGAAAATCAGATGGAACTATCAGAATGGGTGAGAGAGAGAGAGAGAGAGAGAGAGAGAGAGAGAGATTGCGTTGATTGTGGAAGAACTGTGGAAACGATGGACAAATGAGGAAAGAAGTGTGAAAGGGTGTGGCAGGTTGGGAGAAGAAGGTGATAAATAAAGAATGCAATAGTTGAATTATAATTATATATTTATTATGCAGATTATATTATGTATACATTAATTAGATTAGAATTTGTTGCATTTGCTGTTCGAAATAGTGGTCACGATGTCGGTGCAGGTGATGCTGACGGAGGTACCTCAGGTATGGCTAACACACGAAGTTTACTTCCATTGTATTGTCACCAAACACTGACCAGGTAATTACTTGGTTACCTGTTAATTAATTGCTGATAATCAAAAATCGTTGAGGTATGCTATGGAGGAAGAGGAGGGTATTGAATCGTTCGATTCTGCGTTAAAATTGAGTGGCCCTGAAAAGGGCCGATATAATTGTTAAAATTTTCCATTGTCGTGGTTCTTCGAGATCGTAGCCTTTTACTTCTTTCCTGGTTCCGCGGAGCACAAGGATGAAATGAATCGTAATGCCGATTCTTCTTGTGGAAAATATCTTTACGATGCTGTAATAAAAGCGATCGGGGTTTGATGATTTTTCGATGTAATTTCGGTATTATTTGTATTTCTACCAGTAAAAGTTCCAGAAGAGATCCCTAACAATGTATCCATAACCATTTGTTGTATATATGAATTGTAATCCATTAGTTATAAACAATTTTCCATTTCATGTTCCAATATGAAATATCGGAGCAAATGATTCGTGCCACTTTGTACATAAGAGATAAAATAAAATCCGGCACGAATTTTCTGCTGCTTTCAAACAGCCTAACAGCGCCATTTTCGTGCAGCGGCAAAACGCTGAAACTGTTCGTCAAGCAACAGTAACGCGCGGTAACACTGCGTGCGCGCGACATCTGTCGGCGAGTGTCCCAAGTCTGCGGCGGAAACTTAAATCAATACTCGCCGACAGATGTCGCGCGCACGCAGTGTTACCGCGCGGCGAATTGCAGGGAATTGTTGCTTGGCGAATAGTTTGAGCTTTTTGCCACTAGTCCAATTGGCGCTGTATGGATCCCGAAAGAAGCTTCACTTGTTCTCCACAAGAGGCGCTACTGTTTGGCTAGCAGGTTCAGCGTTTTGTCGCTTACTTTGTTGACGCTGTATGTACTCCGAAAGAAGCTTCGAAATTTCTCCACAAGCGGCGCCACTGTTCGGAAAGTAGCGCGAAATTCGAACGCTAGAGTTGTATTTTCTTCGAATAAAGAAGAAAAAATAGGGAAAGCGGTGCTGCAAATCGACTTGGCCGTATATCTGGCTTTATATCTTTCTACCAGAATACAGTATAAAATGATTATGTACTTCGATCGATACCTTAAATATAATGCGCTTAATATCTACACATTACATTCAAATACATTTTGGCATAGCTTGTGCCGAAGAGAATTTAATGTTTTTACAAATAACTAATGTACGTGGTAGTTTGTTGGAATGAATACTTTTATAATCGATTAAGTTATTGTATACTATATATACTTTTTACAATATATTTGTACTTTATATTTTTATCTTACTCTACTGTACAATGAAATAAAGTATGCTTAGATTTAAATTAGATTATAAATAGGTTTCAGTCAGCCTCGATAGATCCCGTTTGAACGCATTAAAAAGTAATTATAAGTCCACGCGTTGAATTAACGAGAGAGTGTGACATTTTTATTTCTGTACGTATTTCTTCATTCTTTTTTCGAAGAACCAGCAAGAGGCCCGAACGACACGCGTTACAGGATTAGCATAAATAATGAAAAACGATGATAAAAGCTGCTCGATAATATATGTTCCACGCGATCAGAATACTTTCTCGCTTTCGAAATAGCCTGATTGGTTGGACTTCCGAAATGCTAAGGAACGACAAGGTCTTTCATTCGTTCAAGGCCGAACAATTGAGATCCCTAGGCATTCGGCTGACCTGGATCCGCGTGCACGGTATAAGAACTTTCTTCTGTTCTTGTCCAGTTGATTGCAGTCGTTTCGATATTGAGACGCGAACGAAGAAAAATGACTGCACTCGTCCGGCTCACGCATGTTTTGTATAACATTAGGACATTCGCACGCATAAGCACAACAACGATTGCTCAGAAAACCATGCCAGGAGGACACCATAAATCACGACGAAGTTCATTTCGATGACTAAACGGTTATTCCTTATTCGATATATTACGGCAAAAGGGATCGAAGATCGGAAAACAGTAATTTTCTAATGAAACTTCGCAAGTATATAATTAGTCGGTCATCGATTTTAATTCTATGTATTGTAATTAATATTACAATATATTACAATTATTATATATGTTATATATATCATATTATACTATATTATTATTATTATATTACATTATATTATTATTATTATATTATATTATATTATATTATATTATATATGTGTGATCATTGTAATAAAATTATATTATTATTATTATATTATATTATATTATATTATATATACTAATATTATATATGTGTGATCACACATTGTAATAAAACAGCGTTTTTGTAACGAGCCATATTTACTTGTTCTCTAGCTCTTTTCATCGCGTATCCAACGCTCAGAGATCTAATAAATTTACTGTATTCATTAAATATCTTTAATACCGAGCTCTGTGCACATATCACAATATTCAGAACGATGAATATATCGAGTGAGAAACCGAGGAGCGGGAAAAAAAACTGTTGGGTCAATGACTATCGGTACAAATTGTAAAACAAAATCTAGTTATACCGGTTCGCATAATTTTTACAAAGCGAGGAATATGTTCGCCGGGCGAAGAGACGAGTTTCGACGGAAACGATAGCAGCTCCGTTAATTTTCATGACCCACACTTTTACAGAGCCGGGAAACGCTCGTCCGGTCTCCATTCCTTAAAACGCTGAACCCGACAGTTTCATCAACGTCCGTTTCGATGTTAACTTGTGTTTCTTAAAACGATTTTGTAATCGTGTATATCGGCTGGACGCTATCGCGAGTTCTCGAGAACCACATTTCTTAGCCGGGAATATAAATTAGTACTCCCCGTTTTGTATCAAGCGTTAAAACTATATCGCCGGTGTAAAACAAGAAGTTCGAACGTTTCTCGTCCGCCAGACTTTACGATCGACGTTTTTTGTTTTCATCGAAGAGACAACCGATATATTTCTTTGGAAAGACGACCACGTTTCTCTCATCTCGTCGCGCGCGGCAACTAATCCCGGGGCGAGTTCAACGATCTTGACGCAGACCAAAATCGTTGCTCCAGCTTCGCGAGCATTTCATTTAACAAGAGATAAAAGTAGCGTGCAGCGTGTTATTTGCTCGATGCAAGTGCAGCGCTCATTATTGACAATGGTAAAAACGGGACGAGATGGAAAGTGTCTAAAGAACATCGGCTGGCGAGTCTCTAAATTTCGGTTTCACTTTTACTTCATCTGCTCCGGGAACAGTTAACGATTTCCCTCGTGCAACTTTATTTCCAATAGCCACAAATAATATTCCAATAATATAATATATATATTATATTATATTATTGGATATTTATTATTAGTTATTATTATATTTATTAATATTATTGGATATATATAATATAATATATAATATATATATCCAATAATGTAATAATAAAATATAATATAATAATAATATATCCAATAATATAATATATATGGCCAATGGCCACAAATAATATTCCAATAATATAATATATAATATATATCCAATAATATAATATATATATATATAATAATATTCCAATGGCCTTTTTCGATTCCAGCGACACATTTCGATTCTCGCATAATTTTTCAAATTACAGCAAACATAATACGTTGGCTTCAGCAATAATTTTTAGCGTCGTTGTCGCGAAGAATTTAGAATTCTTTCTGTAACGTTTTGTAAATTTGAAATACGCGTAAGTATATTAAATATATTGTCGAACAACGCGTTACTTAAGAGTAATGCATGAAACCTTTTAGTAATTTATTAACGTCATCTTGCAAACTGTAACGAGACGTACGCAACGTTTAGATCTATTGTGCAAATTGTTTTCCTGTACTGCCAAACTCGAAGGCGACAAGAATTCTTCTCCATAATCGATCATCATCGAGTTCTTCCCCAGAATCTTTTCCCAGAACCTCCGATTGCAATCTATTACATAAACCGAACTTTTATTCGTACGCAAGAGACGCGAGAGGACGCGTTACACACGGAATAACTAACAAAACAATTCGTTCTTCGAGATAAATCGACGAGCAATAATCTTTAAAAGTACAATGAACAGAACAATGGACAAAATAATGAACGCCTGATGACGTCGAATAAATCTTCAAGTATATTATTTCATAAGGCAGAAGTGCCTATTATGGGACCACTTTTCAGGGTGTGTATCGTCGATTTGATTGCAATTGAAAAGCGTTATCGTCGAATATTTATACTATCGTTCTTCTAGACGACGTAATGAATTTCGAAATACTTCTTTAACACGAATAAAAGATAACACGTGTGAACCAGTAAAGTAAATTATATTGATCTTTGTCCAGAATGTTGTCATTTGTCCGCATTGTGTGACGATGCCGATTCTGTGGCTGCAAGGAAGAACAGCGCAGGTCGCATGATTTCCGAGATATTGTCGCTTAAAGTTCTGTTCGCTAACGATTAACAGATTATTTGTTGTATCTATCAGAAGAAGACTATCAGAAGATCATCAGATTATTTATTCATCGTGGAGGCAAATACTGTAGGCTCGAGAAAATGATGCGATAAGTAGTTATCGTGCTACTAATAACTAGCGTTTCAAGTTGCATAATTTCTTCGAGTCCACAGTATTTGTTTCCGCGACGAATAAATAATCTTCCGATAAAGTTTCCTCTGTGATAAATATATTTATATATATATATATATATATATATATATATATATCTGTCTCTTATACACATCTAGATGTGTATAAGAGACAGATATATATATATATATATCTGTCTCTTATACACATCTAGATGTGTATAAGAGACAGATATATATATATATATATCTGTCTCTTATACACATCTAGATGTGTATAAGAGACAGATATATATATATATATATCTGTCTCTTATACACATCTAGATGTGTATAAGAGACAGATATATATATATATATATCTGTCTCTTATACACATCTAGATGTGTATAAGAGACAGATATATATATATATATATCTGTCTCTTATACACATCTAGATGTGTATAAGAGACAGATATATATATATATATATCTGTCTCTTATACACATCTAGATGTGTATAAGAGACAGATATATATATATATATATCTGTCTCTTATACACATCTAGATGTGTATAAGAGACAGATATATATATATATATATCTGTCTCTTATACACATCTAGATGTGTATAAGAGACAGATATATATATATATATATCTGTCTCTTATACACATCTAGATGTGTATAAGAGACAGATATATATATATATATATCTGTCTCTTATACACATCTAGATGTGTATAAGAGACAGATATATATATATATATATCTGTCTCTTATACACATCTAGATGTGTATAAGAGACAGATATATATATATATATATATATATATATATATAAATATAATATATATTATCTTATATTATTTATTATATATTATATTATTAATATAGATAATATATATATATATAAATAAATATATAATAAATATATATATATATATATATATATATAATATAAAATTATAATAAATATATATATAAATCCTACAGTCCAACGAAGACTCGCATCGACCAGAATTTTTGGAAATTACGACACCGCGGCGTTTTTCCTCGGAATTGCTCTGCTGAAAGTAGCGTTTTTTCTGTGCAACGCACACGGCGTGCGCGCCGATCTCGAGTTAGAAACCGGACGCGCGAAGGCAGGCGATCGAATGAGCGAGAGGGCCTCGGGTCCCGGGATTCACGGCGACAACGGCAGCAACGACGACGACGACGACGACAACCGAGGCACAAGGGAACGCGACCCTGAGTGCTCGACGGCAAAGACAATGACTCTCTCGGCAGTGCGTGTTGCGGCGCGCGCTTATCCGCGGGAGACAAGTATAAAAATGACCTCGACGGGGATAAAGTGTTCGCCGATCTTGCATCGACGGTCAGTACGCGTTCGGGACACCTTCGTTGTAGTCCGCCGAAGGGATCACCCGCGCGAGTTCTCTTCTCTGCGGCTTCTGCTGCGTCATCGAGTATCTGGTCGGACGAGTGCGTTTGCTAACCGGGAACCAACCGGTAGGGACACACGCGGCGATCCTAAGCGTCCGAGAGCATCGTCCTTGGGATCTTGCCCCCTTTTACGGCCGCGTCGACTTAGGGGCAGTCGTCGTCGTCTAGTGTCGCACCGGCGACCGCAGTGCGTCCAGTGAAGTTAGAGGATCGAGAACCGCGAGCATCGGTCCCGGCTAAGAGAACTTATCGTAGTGCGAATCGTAGTGTCTTGTTTCTTTCTAGGCTTCTTCCTTCGACGCTGGGCTTCGTTACGACTTCTCAGGTAGGCACGGTATGTCCGACGTTCGCATCGTTGTCCGCGTACAAACGAGTCACCGAGATCTGCAAAACGTATTTCTTTTGAATTTTCGTTGTGGACTCGGATCACAATGATGCAAATCGATAAATACGTGAATAATAAGTAAACAGACGGATGACAAATATGCAGACGGACAGACATTGGCAATGCTTGGAATGCAGAACTTGGAATGCATTTTTATTCTCTTCTGTCATTCCAAGTAATAGCAGCATTTAAGAAAGCTAGAGCAGAACCTGGAAGAGTGAGATGTTCGAATAATGGACGACCGTCTGACATTTTAACTGCATCGAATAATTGGTTTATAGCTCCAATGCATCGATTTATAAATTGAATCGTTCATTGCAATTCGAATGAATTAATAAGTCAGACATCGGCGATCCGGTTCATCGAGGTTCTACCGTATTCTTTCTTCAAAATTCAGGTCATCTAGTCCACCATTAAAACGAGTTATGCGGTTCTTCGAGTGGTCTTGACCGTCACTGTAGCTCCGACATTTCTGTGGTTGCATGGGAGAACGCCGCATGTCGCTTGTTTTCACTTTCAAGATATCGTCGCTTGAAGTTCTGATCGCTTCGCATGTACTAGTATGTATTTCGAATTGCATAATTTTGTCTAACAGAACTTGCTTTCACGTGCATTCGATGTACGTATAGTTCAACGGGTGCGATGCATTAAGTGTAATAATTTAAATTCTTGGAAACTGCGACACGCGGCGTTCTTCCTTACAGCCGCAGATTTATCTCCGGCGAGACTAGGATCCATGACACGTGTTCGGGTCCGGATTATGGTTGGTGATAGCGATCGTTCGCTACTGGTGTCGCGTAGATCCCATCGACGCAGGCCGCTGCATCATTGATCCGATTCGAGCGAGATTCAGGCTATCTGGAAAATAAGTTTTCATTAACGGTTTAGCCAATTTGCTGATTCTCTGTCAGCTATTGTAAAAATAAATTACATCGAATTAGATTGAATTTGAATTGAATTAACTTTCAAAGAAAGATTAACAGACCTTCAGAATTGTTCCACTTTTTTCGAATTATTAATAGGAGAATGGTTGGATCGCGGATTTGGCGCGTATCGGCCGGAAACAAGTAGGTGAGCCTTCGAACTATCGAGCATTAGAAAGATCACGAGAGTTTGAGAATGTACTAGTTTCGTATTTGTTGAATTATTAATAGGAGAACGGTTGAATCGCGGATTGGATGCGTTTGTAACAGAAACAAGTAGGCGGAATTTCAAACGTTAGAAATATACTTATCATCGATGCTAGATACTAATGAACGATACTAATTGTTTCGAAGAATCTCCGAACATCGATACACTGTTCTAGATAACAAAAAGACGTTGCAAATCGTTGCAGATATCGCAGCCGCGTAATATTCATTACAGCGGTTCACAGTTACTCGAACATTTCAAAAAACGGTTTCGCGCGAATTTGAAGGTCGTCTACTTGTAACGGAACACTGCGCCGTAAATCGTGTCAATTATGTCGTCGCCGAAAGTGAAATTGACTGGTACTCAAACTATCAATGAGTTCGACGAGCGACCGTTTTGCCGGAGTTCGTTCTCGCTTTCTCACGACTCTCGATTTTTACGCGAAAAAACGAAGACACGGTTTTACCGCAGCGTAACTGCAGTTTCCTTTGGAACACGCTTTTAAGACAGCCGCTTTATTCGCGGAACAGATTTATGCCTTTCAATCTGCTCGATCAACTTTTAAGAACGAGTAAACGAGATTCAAAACGGTGAAGACAAATTCGAAACGATTCGAAGATACGATTGTATCGCGCGCAACTTATTAAGCTTATTAACAAAAAGGAATAAATGGCTGTCAAGCTACCGTATCTTGCGTTCGCATAAAAATCAGCAGTATGCTAATTGTACTAAATTAGAATTACAATACTTTGCACGTTTTGCATAGTTTTCTCTGCATAAATGCCGCGCGCAGTTTGCACATATACTTTTCATTCTATGCATCCACTCGCATAAATAAGGAAATTCGATGAACTACGCGTATCGTTAAGAGACGATCCATCCTTTTCATCTTTTTCTTCTTCCTCGCTTCACCCAGTTCGACGTTTTACGGTGCCCTCGTTTGTTCCAGTGATTGCGAAAATGGCAGCTTCGCCGTCTCAATCGGTGTCGACGTGGTTCGAGGGTCGAAATGTGTTCGTCACCGGGGGCAGCGGTTTTATGGGCAAAGTTTTAATTTACAAGCTGCTGGTCAGCTGCCCGAATCTGGGGAACATCTTCATGCTGGTCCGAAAGAAGAAAGACGTTGACCCGCAGACCAGATTGCTGCACATGTTACAGGTAAGACCCTTGACAATGTTGCTATGTTGATCGACCCTTTGTAGTATCACAGGTCAAATTTCCACTCCGAATTCATCCCTTTGCAGTTTAAATCGGCCCTTTTGCCGATCAAAATCCAGTTCTTCCTTCGTTCTTCTTAAACCGTTCCGCTGAAAATCAAATCCAACGTGAACGTCACATTCTGAAATTTGTAATTAATACAAAATATAAATAAATAATATAAATAATAAATATATATAAATATAATATAAATATAATATAAATATAATATAAATATAATATAAATATAATATAAATATAATATAAATATAATATAAATATAATATAAATATAATATAAATATAATATAAATATAATATAAATATAATATAAATATAATATAAATATAATATAAATATAATATAAATATAATATAAATATAATATAAATATAATATAAATATAATATAAATATAATATAAATATAATATAAATATAATATAAATATAATATAAATATAATATAAATATAATATAAATAATAAATATATATAAATATAAATAAATATAATATAAATAATAAATATATATATATAAATATAAATATAAATAAATATATATAAATATAAATATAAATAAATATATATAAATATAAATATAAATAAATATATATAAATATAAATAAAATTGTCGCATGCATGTGACAATAAGAAAAAAAAGAAAAAGAACAAAAAGATATTAATCGCGAGTACTTACGTCGAGAACAGCTAACAATGAACCTCGAAATGATCCGAAGAAATCATGGTCGTGTATTCTACGTATATGTCGACGAGCATCGTGCAGCCACTGTACGCTCAGAGAAACTTGTTTTTTCCCGCGAGTCGTGCCGGGCATTTCATAAAAAAAATTGTTCTCATGGGAACTGGAAGAAGCTTTCAAAATCTCGGCGTAAATTACCGCGGCTGTTTACTGCTAGTCATCGGGCGTGAAAACGCTATTATCGAGATATTCAGAGAAATTTTTTTATTCTGACGCACGCGAACCGCTCCAAACCTGAAACAGAGGAATTAATTTTGCAATTCTTAATCACGATTTTAATAGGGAACGTAGAAGATTATTCGTGCAGACGTGAAGCGTTTATAAAATCGTTAATATCATAAATCGTATATATAAATATATATAAATATTATACACAAATATGCGTAAATATTATAAATATATATAAATAAATGTGTACAAATATTGTATATAAGTATTATATATAAATATTATATACAAATATACGCGTAGATATTATAAGTAAATATATATAAATAAATGTGTACAAATATTGTATATAAGTATTATATATAAATATTATATACAAATATACGCGTAGATATTATAAGTAAATATATATAAATAAATGTGTACAAATATTGTATATAAGTATTATATATAAATATTATATACAAATATACGCGTAGATATTATAAGTAAATATATATAAATAAATGTGTACAAATATTGTATATAAGTATTATATATAAATATTATATACAAATATACGCGTAGATATTATAAGTAAATATATATAAATAAATGTGTACAAATATTGTATATAAGTATTATATATAAATATTATATACAAATATACGCGTAGATATTATAAGTAAATATATATAAATAAATGTGTACAAATATTGTATATAAGTATTATATATAAATATTATATACAAATATACGCGTAGATATTATAAGTAAATATATATAAATAAATGTGTACAAATATTGTATATAAGTATTATATATAAATATTATATACAAATATACGCGTAGATATTATAAGTAAATATATATAAATAAATGTGTACAAATATTGTATATAAGTATTATATATAAATATTATATACAAATATACGTAAATATTATAAATAAATATATATAAATAAACATATACAAATATTGTATATAAGTATTATATATATAATAAGACCCGGTGCATCAAAGAAGTAATAACTATTTATAATGCAAATCGTATTAATAATCAATGTGTCCGTTCGAAGTGTCACACATAATGACGCATACGATGCACTAACTGTTTATCCACACTATATGCATAATTCGTAGCCGGCATTTAAGCACATCCGTGTGAAGCAAACGTTAATCAATTACTTAGCCAATTACCATATTATCTGCCGAACGCTTTTTTATATTCAATAACTTCTTCTGCTCCAATTATCGCGCGTTTTCTTTTCACGCGAATTACAAACTATAAATTCGTTCAGCTCTCGAACAACGTTCGAACAAAAACTAGCAACCTTTTATCATACCAGTCTCACTCGACGTGTCTCCGTCTCACGGTGTTCTCTGTTCGCTACAACTGTTAGACAGTTAACGTAATTTTCAAGCGTCGATTATACTCGTCGAGAACGGTCGAGAGACCGGTTAACGCGAATGTTTTCCAAAAAAATAATCACGAACGAGCCAGCATAAAATTGGCAAAAGGTGTCGGATTCGATTCCTGAAACAGGGTCTACGTGAAACGGATAACGTCGTAGGTCCGAAGTTCGAGCCGGTGAACCTGTTCCCTCGGAATCGTGTCCTCGAGAGAGCATCGACGACGACCGGCCGCGCCGCAAACACGAAAATTTCGTTGCGAAACGGACGACAGAGGAATTCTCTAGTTGTATGCAAGGCCTCGAAATGTAAATCTAATGGTGTTTACAAACGATACACTCGTGTTCTGGGCCGGTTCGGATGAATCTTAGCCGTCGGCACGCGGCGACTTCGTGGCCGCACGGGCACCGTGTTGCTTAATAAAACCATAATCGATTCCAGGTTTCCCAGGGAGCGAACCTTGGCGCTTTCGATTTTGTCTTTCTCCGTTATCGGAGTCGTTTTTACGGCGCGACAGCCCGGAACCGATTAGAACGACCGGTGTGGACTATTACAGAAGATCCAACTGAATTTATTAACCCTTTGGGTACAGATGTATTTGAACAAATTCTTGCGTTTGAGACGGACTTAATTGACTGACGAATTAGACTCGTCGTCTATAACTAAGCCGAAGCAAGTGCGTGACGAGTCTCAGTCGTTAAATGTACCCAAGGGGTTAATTAATTTCACCATCCATCGTTCTATCTAATTTCTCTACTTTTTTAATTTCGTTTAATAATTCCGTGAATTTTTCTCGCCGTTGTTCTATCCAGTTCCACGATTCTCTCGATAGAATTGCTTTCTTATCGAAGGCCCCGTTCTCCTCTTCAAACTGTCGAGTCCAGGAACCGCTGAAAGTTTAACCATCGCGCCGATCTTTACATTCGTTTGTACGTATCCAGTCGTTGTCTTTATCTTGTTTTTTGTCAGCAGCAGTTTCTAATAACTCTTTGTGCAACGAACGGTTCGTTCGTCCTTCGCAAGTGCCACAGTGATTCAACGCTGCACCACGTAGAACACCCATACGCGACGAATGCATCTCGCCGTTAAATTTTATATTCTCCTTTAACAAGCTATTTTCGTCGAGTTCCCTCTACGCCGAGTCCCACGCTGCTAACGGTGTTCCCATCACAGGTACCAGTATAATATTCGTATTTATTTGCAAACCAGTTTCGATATATTTTTTCATTCCTGCTGGCCGGGGATTCCACTTTATTCATCAAGGTCTTCGCAGAAGTTCGATGTCATTGAGAGACCCGATCGCTCCGTCTCCTTCTAAATATAATTACCTAATCTTCTTCTCGATCAATATTTGCCGTTCGCCTTCGAGACTTCCTGGAAGATTTAAATGTTTAATACTCTGGTACACCTTTTATTTTAGTACCGCGAAGCGTTCTTTTTTTTGTGTCTTACACTAGAGGCCAATAGACGTTGCATTTCTAGTTACACTGTTAGGCAGTTATACGGTTACGCGGTTATACAATTATGCAGTTATTAGCTTTGATATCGATATCTTGAATTCGAAATATTCGATACAGTTTTTCATTACTACTTTAGGCTTAAAAATCAAACGCTATGAGTTGAGATAAAGTAACGTGAAATAATGTTAAATAAAATTAAATAAACCGACTGATCGAATGCACACTATGGATTACGCTATCCCGGCACAGTATCATATATTATTCTTGTCGATCTCTGCTAATTGTTAAGGAATTTTATAATCGCGGATTATAATCTCATAAATCGTTTCTTGGCGTCGCTATCTCCGATGTTTTATAGTAACAGCGTTTTCGAACATATTTTTTCCACGCATTATTTTCCTTATTACAACCGACTTAAGTAATAAAAAGAACTGCGACCAGCTGTCATTACCCGCGTGCAGATATCTTCTCGATGCTGTGATTTGTTTTCTCCCGCCGATTAATTAATTACCCTGCGGGTAATCTTGTCGTTGTCTCGTGCACGGCAGGTCTATTTTAAGATGCAGGTTGATTGACTGTTGCGCCGCATACCGATTTACATCTGATACCGGTTTCGTTGCATGCAACTAATTTGGCATTGCCGTTTATAGTATCGAAAATACTGCAGCAGCGTTCGCGAACGCTTCGAACGACTCGTAACTTCGTATCTGCCACGTATCGTGAAGAATCTGTAATCACAAAGAGTACACATGCTCCATTAGTCTCTGGACAATGCGGAGATACTCGGTACAGGCGCGCTAAATTCTCTCCAATTGTCGCTCAGCCTGCAAACAAATATGAACGATTTAGGAAGAAGAGATACGATTATTACCAACTATAAATTATTAACTATAAAAATGAGGCCCGAGGCTCGATCAATCGTATCTCCAGTTCCCAAATTCGCCATCTTTGTTTCCCAGCTGAAGGAAAATCAGGGAGAATTTACTGTACTCTGTGTACGTTAAATAAACGATCCGTTTGCAGAACAAATACGATCGTGCACTATTTGTTTACAAGCCAGGCGACAATTGGGAGAGAATTTACTGTATCAACGTTCTCTTCGACGTAAACATTGCTAAAGACCATTCGATCGTAAATCGAGACGCATCGGTAAACGCGAATCCAACATCTGAAATTCAAATAGTTCGGCGAACCGTTCAGTACCGTTTAGTGGCGGTGAATTTACGTGTAAGATTACATTCTCGGACACCGGTTTAGAAGCCGTGTTTGCGTAAAAACTTAGCGAATCCGTAAACGTATCGGTGATCACGATGTGCAGTTAGTTCCTGCTTTACATCCAAAGAGGTACAGTATCCTAGTAAACATCTGGTGATCTAGTATCGCAACGCGTTACGCTGCTCTTCGCCGATGTCGCGAGATCTATGCAAATGCATGGAGCTACGATCGGAGTCGTTAATGCGCGGTGGAAACAGTTGCAGCGCGATTTGAATTGCAATTTGGACACAGAGAACGGTTCCCGGTTAATTAAGCAGGCAACTGAAGTTACCACGAAGACCGAGAGTACGGCGAACCGTTTTTAAACCGAGCGTGTTTAATCTAACCGAACAATTTAGGATCTATTTGAATTCGTGTGCGAAGAATCGTGGTTTAAATATTGCTGAAAAATCGAACAGGCTCGGTAAATCGTGGTAAATCCATCTTCTGTATGTACTCGTGCATAGTAAACAGTTGTTAGATACGAGAATCTCTCAACGAATGAGCAAAAAGGAACAAGTTTTTGCGGGAAAACCTCGCTTCCTCTTATCTCACCCGGAAGACGTCCGCGTGTAATTAAATTAAGAGATTAGTCACAATGTAGCAATTAATTGCGGTGACACGCCATTAAATAATTTTACCATGGTTACGAAAGATTCGCTCGACTCGCGTTACGTTTTAACGGCGGCTTCGTCGATCGTTTTAACGCGGATTTGGTACGATATTTCTGTTTTCTAAATTACGTTTGTACAATCGCGCTGTAGGAGAAGTCGAACGGTCGATTCGGCAAAAGTGACGAAACTTGTCTATAAATAAATTGATTTAACGCCGCTTGTCGATGTGGCGTTGAATTAACATTTTAAAGAATGTCTTGCGACACTTTCTGGTAAAAATAGCGTTGAGTTATGTATTACGTTAGCTTGCGTGTTAATGGTAAGAATTATTATAATGTAATGAAATTACAATAATGATTCTCTGAATTAAATAAAATTATAACGATGATTCTGAATTAAATAAAATTATAACGATGATTCTGAATTAAATAAAATTATAACGATGATTCTAAATTAAATAAAATTATAACGACGATCGCAATGAAATGATTAGAATTAAACGAAGAAACATTCCTATTCGTAATTACGTATGCGATTTACAAAGGCTGTTCTCCCGGCTCCGACTGTGCAGAGCCTTTCTTCTGCACAAGTCTATCGGTATCGATCAAGGAGAGAAAAAAACGAGTTCCGAGTTCCGCTAATCATATACGCGCATGTATCGTTGCGTACGCATGTTCAACGTATAATTTCGTTTCTTTTTTTAGCGACTAAAAGACCTTTTAAGACTGTACCCGCGTGAAAGGATTTTCTGACGTTCTCTCGCGTGTCTTTTTATAGCGCGACAGATCAACGAACATTAATATTTTTCGTAGCACCGATCGATCGATCGATTCCCTCGAAACGGAACGCGCCGATTTAAAATTGTTCGAATTACAATTTCGCAAATGAAACGCGAGTTGTCCAATTTGTCAGCCTAATGGGGAATCACCGACCAGGAAGAGAGGCCTGTGCCATTATTTGCTTTTCGGAAAGGTTTTATGGAGAAACGGATGTCCTTCGCGTACGGAATAAATGAGGCGAGCTATGCGAAGAGAATACTGCTTGTCGGTCGGACGATTTCAACGCGTGGTCACGGTGCCGCGTATACATATATTAGAATTTTATTTATCTTTATTTACACCGAATTGCTTTTTAGTAAACAGCCGAATCGTCTTCAGCCGAAAAGATGGTACAGCAATGTCTCCCTAATTCGGGCTCGGATTGCGCTCAAAAATGGACGATCTGTGAAGAGGAGACACGATTATTCGAGCCTCGCGGCGCTCGTTTTTGTAGTTGTTAACAATCGGCGATTATAAAAGCGAGCCCCGCAATGCTCGAATAATCGTATCTGCTCTTCCCAAATTGTCCATTTTTGTGCGCAATCCGAGCGCGAATTTCGGGAGAAATTCGGGCGAAACGGAACATTTTTATTTGACGTAATAGCTGTATACTTGTCACGACGGATCGCGAATTGTTATGCGAAGCGGCGGCAAAGAAATTGAAATTATTCGCGGAAGAAGAAACGTGAAATAATAATGACGTATTTTGAACCACTTGTACGAGGAAGCAGATAAGAGGAACTCAAATTTCATATGCACGCCATCGCTTGTGCTCGGACAAGGTCTTCGGTGACTAACAATGTGAGGCTGAGAATAAAGAAGAGGTGGACAACAATCTCTCCCCTCGTAACTTGTTCAAATCTGAGATCGTTTAATATATAAATATAGACAGAAACGGGCAGATCAAATGCAAAATAGCAAAAACGTTGGCAGCGTCGATCCAATAAAAAAAAGCGATAAAATTAAGCCGTGTTGAACTACCTAAAGTATCTTTCAGTAATCGGTGGGTTAAAACACACGTCTGCAAAAAAAATGAATACTGAAAAGGTTAAGAGTCGTGCCTGGATTGTCAACTTGTAGAAGCACCCGGGCACGTACCCACGCCGCACAGAAACAAGCTGTTGCATAATTTATTAATAAATACTGTTTTTATCGGACTGACCCCTTCCTATTTAACGAAACTGACTTCTGAGTTTATTAACATCGTACCCCAAAGTACCTACAATTAAACCTTGCTAATAATTACAATTTCTGTTTGCTAAATGTTTACAAAGTCGTTGTGCATATAAAGACTCTAAAATTCAAGAAAATGCGATGAATCTAACACGACAAATGTGTTACAGTATTATGGAGACGAAATGAAAGAAGCACGAAGTTGTTGCTATTTTTAATTCCTTGGAATTGACGCAGCAAATTTATATTTCGCATAAAAATTCGCAGCCTAATAATCGCGAGTTCTGCAATTCCTTTTCGGTTGCAAATAAATCGACGTTCCTGCTCCATCTCAATTCGCCTTTCGGACATAGGCGGCGGAGAGAAAGAGAACGAAACAATAAAAACCTGTAAAACCGAGGGAACATTCGGCAACAAAGACGAAGAATTTATTTACTTGCGTCAGTCGATCCGAGGAGTCGCGATTCGTAACGCGTCCACGAGCGCGCGAGTGAAGGGGACGCTAATGGTGCAGGTATGCAACCGATAATTTCACCATGTACCGTTTCCAAGTGTCACTGAAAATCTCAATGGGACAGGTGTCGTTCTTCGCGACAGCAAACACGGCCACGCTCGCCTACGAATCGTTAAATCGCGTTTCCGCCGACACGATGCGATACAAAAATTTCCCTTCCGGCCGCTCGCAATTAATCGCGTGGTTCCGGTCGCGGCGACGGAACCGTGTGCAGAAAGCGTGTGCCGCTCGAAAGTTCGGAAAAACTTGGGTAACTCGATCTTCCTCGATGGTGTTCCCATTTAACTGAAGACGCTCTCTCGACACAGACCAGTTTCCCGACGAGATTTCTTCCCGCGAATCGAACATGGACTCCGTATTAGGAACGATTACACGGCTTCGCAACGATCCTGAAAAGGTTCCGATCTCGCCTTTCTTTTATTCAACTAAACGTTTCATAAATTCTTGCATCCAGCGGATTCGGTTCTGTCGATTCGATCCGCAAACCTGGAACTCTCATCCCCGGATCTCCGATGCACAGGGCGATTCATCTGAAACAAGTCGAACGAGTGAGATTGCTTGAAGTGAAATTCAATACTAATTTCATGTTCATAATGAAATTCTAACGAACCAATCGTCCCGCAGTCCTGTTAATTTGTATTCCACGGTTTAATAAGTCGAGTATTCGATATTTATAAAGCGTGCCAGCGCGTTACTACATTCTCCTATAATTGTTTTCCTTCGCCTACCACAATCTTTCCTTGATTTGCTTCCGGATAAAACGATACGATCTACCCCGGTGACGCAATTCTGTTCAACAGGACTCTGTGTTCACTGTTTATGCAAATTTACATCGCGCAAACAAGCTAAACATTTCGCTATTGTTTGCAACGTGAAATAATGCGTGTATTGGCTAGGCTCGTACAACTGTTTCGAGTCAAATTTATTCAATTTTGCAAGTGAATGTTTACTTTATTTTGTGTCTGATTACTCAATCGGCCATAGAAACGGATAACGTAATAATAATTGTTAACATTACGATACTTCTAATTGAATGAATCATGAAAACTCATAATATAATTGTTGAAGTTACAGTACTTTTACTTTATCCAAGTTTGATTGAATAAATCATGGGATCCCGTAATATAATCGCTGTATAAAGTTATAATACTTTGACATCATCAAAGTTTAATAATTATTGAAGTTACAATGGTTTTACTCTACTCTACTCTACTCAGAATATAATGAAATAAATCATAGAGATTTGCTATACGATAATAATTGTTTAAATCATGATACTTTTATTTTATCAAAGCCTAATCGAACGAATCATAAATTGGGATTACAATTGCAGCAAGAACCGTTCAAGTCGATCAAAGAGAAATCTCCGGAGAAGGTGAAGAAACTCATCCTGGTACCTGGCGACACCACAATGGACGGTCTCGCATTATCGACCGCCGATAAGGAACGACTGATTAAGGAAGTCAGCGTTGTCTTTCATATGGCGGCAAATGTGAAATTCGACCTGACGCTGAAGGATGCTGTGCGAATAAATACCCAGGGCACCATGAACGTCCTTAAACTCGCGAAGCAGGTACATATTCATCTCTTCATTTAATAGGACGTGTATTTACTGAAACAGAAAATTTTGCTCAAATGTTATACTATATATACGTATATATGTATATAAATTCTAAATATCGCTCCTCAGTGTGTATGTATGACCGGTTACGACACATCTTAATAGCATTATAGAAGTTCAATGCGTCTGACATTTTCTAGCGAACCTGCGACCATAATTATTATGTCATTTCAGCACAATAATTATTATTTCACGTCAAATCGCATTAGCTGTAAATAATTAGCTAATTTCGATTTCTACTCACTTGCATTTCGTGATTAATAGCTTCAACTTGAATAATAAGCACGTTTCTGTCGTGCATTTTTCGCAGAAAGAACCGTTCTTTCCGTAAGGCATACGGTCTTTTACTAAATCTAAGAGAAATTCGAACACGATCAACCGACAAAAGTTAATAAAAATATTTGCCACAGATGACGAGCTTGGATTCGTTCGTTCACGTTTCCACGGCGTATTGCCACTGCCACGAACCCGTGCTCGAGGAAAGAAACTATCCAGTATCGGTACAGCCCGAAGTCATGATAGACACCGTGAACAATCTGAACGAGGACGTGCTCGTTTCGATGACGCCGAAATTGCTGGAAGGCCAGCCGAACACTTACGCCTTCAGCAAAGCGCTCAGCGAGGATTTGGTCCAAAGATCCGGCCTGCCGGCAGCTGTTGCTAGACCTTCGATAGGTAAACCATCTTCCTCTCCTTTAACGCTTCGAATTCCACCATTGGTTTATCGCTGTTTCATCGAGGCACTCTGCAATGTATTTGTCAAGTATGAAAACTTGTTGAAGAAATCATGTTATTATGAATCAGAGAAATGATATCCGGAATTTAAAACAGTAGGAAGATTAAAAGCAGACGATTTTCATGTTCTATAAAAATCCGCAATCTAATAAATTATTAAATCGGTCATTATAGGCAATTGCAACTAACACAAAATATGTTTCCACGGCAACTGCGACGTTTGTCTATAATGCTCGCTGCAAGGTGCATTAATCATCACTAAAAACATGCAATCCGTTCTAAGGATTCCCTAAAGACACTTTTTGAAAAATGGAGACCATCAATCCGCCGAAGACGCGTCGCTATAATAAATGATTCTTTGGACATATCCCAAGACGATAAAATTAACATACTTTTACCTATAATAGCATTTTGTAACCTACGAGCACGAGAAGAATCCTCATTTCTCTTTTTTGGGCTTATGGTTCCGTCTTACAGATGCGCCCGTCCTTTCTAATGTGTTTTATGATTGATGCTCTCGAACAGATTGTGTATCTGGCACTTTTTAACCGGTCCTAGATGCTGCAGGAGGCAAACCACTGTCCATAAATATTTCAGTACTCGTACTTTCTCTGTAAATATGAATTTTCAGTGAAACAATCCAATTCAAATCTCATGTCTACGTATACAATACCGTAGGAAAGACTATTATAATTGTAAATTTCTAAATAGACGTCTATTAAAAATCTATTTAAACTTAATTTGCTATTAAAAAATTGCTATTAAATTATTATAATTAAATTGCTATTAAAAAATAGATTTATTATTGTTAAAAATTATAATAGAGATTTATTATAATTGACTCTCTCTTTGCTACTGTTTAGAATCAGTTGATTGAAATTTATATTGAAAACCTATTATAATATACAATAATAATATACAATTGAAAGATGACAATTACAAAGAAAAATGAAAACTGTATTATACTGCCATCTGCCAAGCCTTAGGCATCGTTCCCTCGGAGAACTCCTTTCACCCTCTCGACCTCGATACTTTTGGATTCCCGGTTTTTTTTGCTATGAAACTCAACGGACGTGAAATGTCAGAACGTGGTTGCAGCATCGCGTGGGCTCCTTAATGATATACGTTCTCAAATTTCAGTGCTTGCATCATTGAAGGAACCAGCGCCCGGCTGGGTGGAGAACTTGAACGGGCCAACCGGTCTGATGATCGGAGCCGGCAAAGGCGTGATCAGGACCATGCTGTGCAACGACAAGTACTTCTTCAACATAGTTCCATGCGATATCGCGATCAACGGCATAATCGCCATGGCGTGGAAAGTCGGAATCGAGAAACCCCAGGAGCCGATATACATGAACGTGACGAACGGCGCCGAGAATCCGATCACTTGGCGGAGCGCCATCGAAATGGGCAAGATACATGCTAGGAACCATCCGTTCTCAGGTGGTTACTGTAAAAATACATACGATAAGATTTATATACGATTTTATAGAATTTATACATTTTAAAAAGTAGACTTATTATATTGTTAAAATTTATAATAGAAATTTATTGTAATTGACTCTTTGCTACTGTTTAAAATCAATTTATTGAAATTTCTATTGAAAACCTATTATAATATACAATTATAATATATATATATATATATATATAATATATATATATATATATATATATTATAATTGTATTATAATTATAATATGTATTATAATTGTATTATAATTGTATTATAATTATATAATATTATTATATTATTATATATATTATTATATTATATATATATTATAATATATATAATAATATAATAATATTATATAATTTATTTATTATATTATAATATTATATATATATATTATAATATACAATTGAAAGATGACAATTACAAAGAAAAATGAAAACTGTATTATACTGCCATCTGCCAAGCCTTAGGCATCGTTCCCTCGGAGAACTCCTTTCACCCTCTCGACCTCGATACTTTTGGATTCCCGGTTTTTTTTGCTATGAAACTCAACGGACGTGAAATGTCAGAACGTGGTTGCAGCATCGCGTGGGCTCCTTAATGATATACGTTCTCAAATTTCAGTGCTTGCATCATTGAAGGAACCAGCGCCCGGCTGGGTGGAGAACTTGAACGGGCCAACCGGTCTGATGATCGGAGCCGGCAAAGGCGTGATCAGGACCATGCTGTGCAACGACAAGTACTTCTTCAACATAGTTCCATGCGATATCGCGATCAACGGCATAATCGCCATGGCGTGGAAAGTCGGAATCGAGAAACCCCAGGAGCCGATATACATGAACGTGACGAACGGCGCCGAGAATCCGATCACTTGGCGGAGCGCCATCGAAATGGGCAAGATACATGCTAGGAACCATCCGTTCTCAGGTGGTTACTGTAAAAATACATACGATAAGATTTATATACGATTTTATAGAATTTATACATTTTAAAAAGTAGACTTATTATATTGTTAAAATTTATAATAGAAATTTATTGTAATTGACTCTTTGCTACTGTTTAAAATCAATTTATTGAAATTTCTATTGAAAACCTATTATAATATACAATTATAATATATATATATATATATATATAATATATATATATATATATATATATTATAATTGTATTATAATTATAATATGTATTATAATTGTATTATAATTGTATTATAATTATATAATATTATTATATTATTATATATATTATTATATTATATATATATTATAATATATATAATAATATAATAATATTATATAATTTATTTATTATATTATAATATTATATATATATATTATAATATACAATTGAAAGATGACAATTACAAAGAAAAATGAAAACTGTATTATACTGCCCATCAAATACATACGATTTTATAAAACTTACGCATCCTTTTAGGGATTCTCTGGTATCCAGGTGGATCCAACACCAATTCGGTGGCGTATCACTGGATCCGTGTAATCTTGTTCCACCTTATACCGGCATACCTGCTGGACGGCGTGATCATGTTATCTGGAAACAAACCGTTTTTGGTACGAGTTCAGCAGAAAGTCAACGCTGGCATCAAAATAGTACATTACTACACGACCAAAGAATGGAAATTCCGGTAACTAAAACATATGCCCGCATAATAATAAATAATAATAAAACATACCATAAAACATATATTACTATGCACGCATAGTAATATAGATCACAACACAATATCATTTACTTGTTCCAATAATTGTATTCGAACAGAATCTCATTCCGACCTGATAGAATGTCTCGATAAATTAAAATATAACTTCTATAAAATTCTACAAAATCTAAGTCTCGTTAAGAAGAATACTCGTGTGGTTGCCACTTAAAATTGTTTACCGTTTGTAACACACTATCGAGAAACTCCGTTAACAAAAATCCGACTAAAATCTAATCGAAATCTCTGAATTTTCAGAAACGACCGCATGAAGGAGCTGAACCAACAATTGAACTCCTCGGACAAAGAAGAGTTCTTTATGGACATAGCAGCGGTTTCGTGGAACGAGTTTCTATTGACATACTTGTTAGGCATCCGAAAATTCACGTTGAAAGACGACCCGTCGACACTGCCGCGTGCGCGACAGGTCATGAACTACATGTACTACGCGGACAGATTCGTTAAGATCGCGATGGCATTGTTGTTAGCGTGGTTCGTTTATTCTTGCATGAACATGACAAGGGAACTCGCGATCGCTCCGTTCGACGTGAACGAGATTTAGCTGTACTGTTAAGTAAACCGCAGACTTTACCTCACGGTAATTTTTTTATATCGTCGTATCTGCCTCCTAATCTGCCACGCCGTTAAACGTACGTCTCGTTGATCGGAGTTCGGCATTGTTCGAATACAATTCTATTCGGATAATGAAATTGCCACGAATACGATTCGTAATTCGAGAATTCATTAAGCGCGCGTGTTATCCGCTTCTTTTAATTATACACAGCGGTGGCGCAGAATCGTGTCGATTCAATGTCGCGATTTAAGTTTAACGATATTAATTACACGATATCGAAACAGTGATCGCCGCTTGATTTATCTCCAGTGGAATCCTATATTCCTCTGTTGTCGACGCTTATTTATCTTCACGGAGAATGCAAGCGTACAGCGCATATAAATTATCTTCGAATCGCAAGGGCTTCATCGGGCCGCGTTTTCTTTGACTATAACGCGTGGAAGGAGACGCGAGGCTTCCGATTCTGGAACGAAACTACTGTCTACAATGATGAAACGTCGCAGCATAATACAATTATCATAGGATTGACCTACTCGAGTCACGTCGGCGAATCGAATGCGGATATTTGTGATATCTAGATTCTTGTCATTGTTTTTTTAGCGGTTACGAATCGAAAGAACGATTCGGAGATTGAACATTCAGATTGAATTCGGCGATCGAGCTCGACGGAGACGCCAACGTGCTGGCAAACAGAGATGTCCGACTTTGTCTTCCAATTAATTAAATCGTACGGTCCGCACGGTGTAAACGGAGTGGGAATTATCTGCAACAAAAATGCACAATGAGCATTACAATTATCGCAAATTTACATAGGAACATTTATATGTAGATACTTTCAAAAGTGTTCGATCATGGAAACAATTTTCGCGTGCGCTAGAAGAATGCAAAAAATTAGCAACTCAATAGTAAGAATGTTTTATTGTTATAATGTACATTGACACAGCGTGTTCGTTGCCACGATTACTTATTATTTTTAAGTCGTAAAGTTATTATTATTATTATTATTATTTCGTGTTGAACGAGTATGTATACGGGAACATTGACTTTTCGTGCGACGCGGCGTAACCTGTGCGATGTGTGATCGTTAAGACGCAACGTATAAATAAGTTTATATGATTGTACTGATTAATAAATGTAATAAGATAAAAAGCTTGTTGATTTATTCGGAATGCGAGAGAAACTTTTGCGGATACTGCACGTACTAGTGTAATTAATAATTAATTATTATAAACAGTGGCTTTCCTTGTCGGCTACAGATTTTTGGAAATTCTATGTCATAGTCAGCTAAATGATTTCTACAATAAATTCCGATCAAATGAATTTAGTTCCAGTAGCTAGCAAAAAAAGTTTCTACTACTAATTCTCCTACCGGTAGATACTTTCAGTCATGTTTCTAATATTTTAAAAAATTCTAGTAAGTATTATATTATATTATTATATATTATATTCTATACAATAGATTCCAATAAAATGAATTTAGTTCCAGTAGCTAGCAAAGTTTCTACTACTAATTCTCCTACCGGTAAATACTTTCAGTCATGTTTCTATTATTTTATAAAATTCTAGTAAGTATTATATTATATTATTATATACTATATTATATTATATAAGTATTATACTATTGTATAATATAAGTTTGCACGTAGTTTAGGATACGCCACGCCTATGGGAATTTCAACACAGTTGAAAGGCTTGCAAACGTTTGCCAATTTTCCGCGTCAGTTTTCGGCCGACAGGAAAATAACAACAGGGAAGTTTAAAACGGACACCTGTCACGTCTATTCTGCGCATAGAGATATTTAAATAATACTTAAGTATAGAAATCAGTCAAGGAAAATGTCATCGCACACTGACATTTCAAAAATTTCGAAACCGCGGTTTGCTGTTCACGCCCCCGTGCCGTACACGCTTCCACGAAATTTCAATCTATCCCAAATTCTCGTCGTGACAGTGTAAATATTGGAAATGACGCGACAGTTACAGTAGAAGAAAGTTGATCGCCTTGGGGTACGAATCACAGCCTAATCACAGCGGGCGCGCGCGCCGAGCTGGGCGAAATTTATTTCAAATGAGAATATTAAGAACTATTTGAAATGAAAATAAAAAAGAGCAACTATTATGGAAATCATACGGCGATCCAATTATCAACTCTGAATCTGGTTTACGGTGATATCCTCGTTGACATTTCCGCAGGATCAAAGTCTTCTTTTCCTTGTTCTTCTTATCTTTTTTCTTTCGCTCCAGCAAATTGCCACCGTCTACAAAAAAAAAACATTTGCATATATTATCTGGTAAATTAGTGTCTCTAAAATCTAAGAAAAAAGAATCCAAGTCATTTCGACCACTCTTGAAAAAGTTATTCTGTTTGGAAAAGCATCTCATAAAGCCCCGAAGGGACGAACGTTTTTCTTCGCCTTGTTTTCACGTCGGGCACTCACTTGGGCTACCCAGTTTCCTCATCAACGGGGTCATGTTGCGTGAAAGAAAAATTCAAAGGGGAAGATGCAGGGTGCACCGTCGCTGGACACAAGTAGTTTCCAATTGACGTCTCGACGATGGCTATTAATAATCCGTTTAGCCGAGGCGTGCACGCGAGAAAAATTCTTTTCGGTTTAGAATAGGTCACCGAGACTTGGATCCTTAACCTCGGTTTCACGAAAGCCGGCAATTACAAGTGCCACTATTGCTGGTATGATGAAACACAGTCCAAAATCCGGAGGTTAAGAGTTAACAACTCAATACCGTATTTGCTTAACAAATTTGACAGTGGTTTGCGCAGACGTTTACACGTTCTAAAGTGTTATACTATGTGTCGTATGCTATTAATATTTCCGATACGTGATATTAATATTCATGCGTTGAATGATATTATTATTATTCATATATATATACATATTATATGTATGATATTAATATTTATATATTATATGAATGATATTATTATCCACATATATATATATATATATATATATAATATTAATATTCATATAATATACGCATGGTATTATTATAACTATGTTATATTCATATATATACATATTATATGTATGATATTAATATTTATATATTATATGAATGATATTATTATCCACATATATATATATATATATATATATAATATTAATATTCATATAATATACGCATGGTATTATTATAACTATGTTATATTCATATATATACATATTATATGTATGATATTAATATTTATATATTATATGAATGATATTATTATAACTATATTATATGATATTAATAGTAATATGTAATACATATATATAAAATAAATTCAGAAACGGTGTCACACGTAACTATTACTCATAACGAAAACCATTTGACTTGAGATAACAACAATATTTATGCAACGTCTCTTTTCATATTCGCCGCAACACTTACTGATTCCGGCTTGCAACATACACGCGTTTACTACAAAATTATCAAATCGCCGCGTACTCCTCCATTCTTTATCTTCGCCGGCTGTTCGCGCCGCTTTAACGCAAATTTACAAAACTACCGCGAAAACCGTGGCGGCGGTTCATACTAATGCATTATTAACACCGGCGTTTAGCACGGGTATTTCACGAAAGCCTGAGCACACACCGTCTGACCGTTTGAATTTTTTCCATAGTGAAACATACTAATTGACGGTTTCCGAAATCAAATAGCGGTGTGCTCGCGTGGTCGGGGTTCGCCGTGTGCAGAACACAGGCGTCCTAAGATGTTGCAATCGTTCGGCTCCTATACGTTCTCTCGCTGGCGCGCGTTTCGTACTCTCTCGCCTAGCACTCTTGTTTTCACTCTCGCTTTCTCGCATTTAGTCCCGCCGTTACACCTCCACCGGCGTCTAACGCACTCGAATCTACAAAAAAAAAAAAAATTGGACACAAGGTTACTCCACTTTTAAATACGATCAATCAAACTCTATTCGGGTCAGATTTACCGTCAGGCCTCTGTCGCCCAATTATATAAAATAATATCGCACGAGCAGGTACTTCGCCGAACGAACTTATGGTCGCAGTGTATAATCTTTTCTTGGTATTATTATCCGATGATAATAATAATAATAACGACGAACAAAAAACAGAATGTTCTTAGTATACACTTTTCGAGAAATGTTGAAAAACATTAGATATCGTTGCGTAATATACAGATCGTCGAGCATTTGTTATTAATAGTCGGGATGACATTAACAGGATGATCAATCGCTAGGAATACGTAAACATGCGTCTTGCTTTGTATAAAAAATTACGAGGTAGCCATGTATACGTCGCATTGATATCGGTAAACTAGTGTTTCTTTTCTAAGGCGATTGTCGAGGCGCATATATACCTTACTCGCGATAAACATCGATTTTATAATGACTTCCAAGATGTTATCCTGATCATTGAGCGTCTTCATGCGAAACTCTTTGCATGAATTTAAACGAAAAAAAGCATAGGTCAAATGCAATTTAATTTTTTCTCATACTAATAATTGTAATACCAAGGTACTCATTGATTATTCATCGAAACATACTATGTTATACTAAAATCATTTCTGGAAACTCAGCATTTCACGAAACATCTTGTCGATAAGCGTTGGAATTAAACAATATTATATATGTACAAATGATTATACATATATATGTACAATGATTAAAGCGGAACATTGAAATTTCGAGTGAAGAAAGAACGACTAACCGGCAAACTTTCACGGACGTTAAGAAATTCTTTGTAATACGGAGAACGACTTAGGGGTTGAGAAAGTTCATCAGAAAGTGCAATAAATCTGTCGTTTTCGGGCCAAAAGTTAACGAGGTGATAGAGATCGGGGCTCTCTTGTACACACTCACACGTTAAATTAATCTTCGACACACCGTTCATAAAATTTTTAAAAATGTATGTTAATGTATACTTATATCATAAATGTTATTAATAAATATTTAGTAATTAAATATTTACCGATATATAAATAATTTACATACTGATAAATATTTGATAATTAAATGTTTACCGATACATAAATAATTTACATATTAATAAATAAATTTATATATAATCTCTAATAAAAGAATGTCTGCAAATCTAGCGTTAAATCGATAACAGTTCATTTCCGGTGGCAAGTGCGATTGTCTAGAAGAAGTAGCATAAAAAGTAACTTAATAAACATGCCTAAATAAACGTTTCAGTGGCGTGACCGACAACTTAATCGGACGAATTTTTCGGATTGAACTCATACATATTAAACTTGTTCCGCAAGACATCGCTGGTCAGACAACGCCGGGTAATTCTCCTTCCGCCGGGCACGGATAGTATCAAGTAGATTTAACATTTCCTCGACAGACCTGGCAAGAAAGTACAAATTGCGTCACCGAATAGAGGTCGACTTGCCTCGACCACTCGATTACGTCCAGGCAAAAGAACAAAACATTTTCACGGGAGAGACTTCAACTCGGATTTTCATGGTTACGAACGGCGCCGTCTACGGTAGACGTACCAATTGCTGTGTCCTTAAAACTAAACTCTCGCAAGTTTGATTAAATAAAAGCGGTCTCTCCGCGCCTCTTTTCTATTTCTCTAAGAGCATTTAGACTGCATCTCATGGTTTTCCCGGATTGTTAGACTCGGATACTAAAATTTTACAACACGTAAAATTATAAATAATATTTCTAGTTTCCGGTCCCTACCTACGGCTCCCGTACGAATATTTAATCGAATTCGGAAGCATAATGCATAATGAAGACTTTCGTCCGTTATTTATAGACAATCCTCATTTGCTATGAATGAAATTCTTCCGGTTGTCGCCGCCGCCGCTGCTGCTCCGATTACACCGGAACGTTTTGAAATAAATCCCCCACCGGACAAAAAACCTGCCAGTCCACTGACTCAGCGAAACACTGGACTTTACGTGTCAAATTTCTAAAAAAATGTCGAGTCCCGTTCGATCTTTCGTAAAACGAGCCGTCGAAGGTAGAAATGGTGTAAGGTCGATGTCCCTAAAAAAAGAATTAATTCCTGGATTAGAAAAGACGAATCGAATGCTGTGCGAAAATCGAATCAAAAAATTATACGACTCACCCCTTTTTAAACGGCACTGCTGTCGAACACATTCCGCGAAAGGATCGTCGAATTAGCATGCTTGTCGAACACGTTTCTGAAAAGAGAAGTTCGTAATTAGAATTAGAACATGGCGAACGCGGTAATTCAAAATATTCAAACAGCAGAACAATTGCTACAATAATAAATTTCATTTTTCGACAGATCGTATTTTCACAGCTCTCTAATATCTCTCGTTTCTTTAACCCCTTAACGTTCCAATATTGCCGATTAAATCGATCAATGTCTCTCGGTTCCCTGCGTCAAATATTAATTACCCCCTTCGCATATGTTTATTTCTAACTAACCGTGTAACCTTTTCCATTTCGCAAGTAACAATTCTCAGCGATCGTACCGTGAACGCTTTTGCAGGATATCTTTTTTTTCCTAGATCACGAAGGATTGCGAACAGCCGAGCCAGCGTTCGGTAGTTGCCCAAGTTTCGTTCGGTCACGAACACCTTTCTCGACGGACACTCGCACGGATCCTTGATACTATTTTCATCGGAACGATCTAAAGAGACGGCGTTCGACAGATGTATTCGACGCTGTTTTTTGCCGGAGGAGTCGCAAAACACCGGACAACATTTTTATTCGAGATTATTGTCACCAGAGAGTAGAAAGAACAGCTTGCAAAATTCTCAGTCGAGATTATCATTGCCAAAAGGGCGCAAGAAACAGCGTGCAAAATTTGTATTCGATTCGATCGTCACCAAATCGGTCAAAAGACATCTTTCAACATTTTTATTCGATTCGTCCGCTCGCGACGTTCTTCGCCCGATTGTTAACAGAGAGAAAAATCATTCGGTCAGATTTCCGCGCGAAGTTGTCGCGTCTCGAGAGGCGTCCGCGCGTTCGATCAAGTGGATCGTAGATCGGTAAAGGTCGCGCATACGCAGAGGACAAAGCGGAGTAACGCAGCATCGCGGTTCTTACATAATTTGCATTAAAGTACCACGGCTGTTTCTCGCAAAGCCGTTGCTTCACTGTGCCCCGGCAGGTGTGGTAGCGTAACAAGAGCCCGTAGGATCGGGTGGGGGGAGGGGTAAAAAGCTGGGCTAGAAGAAACGATTACTATCCTGCATCGGGCGACGATGAGGCGTCTACCAGGGTAATATTGGGCCATGGTAATGGTTTCTCAGTCTACAACAGGCCCGCCGGCAGAGTAAGAACGATCATCGGCTCTAGCTGGTCAGCGTGCCCAACAGTCGCGCTTTCGTTTCGTTCGCCGATCGTTCGCGGTGATACGCGGCTTCGGATAAAACGCGAAGTGAACCACGCGGCTCCTGCATTTCGTCAATGTTTACGTCGCTGTCAACTTTATTTCGAGCTCTCATTTTTTAGTTGTTCTAGCCGGGCCGATCCCGCGGCATCCCGCGATCTCCATCGGACGCGATATCGAATTCGACGCGTCGCGCGTGTCATCGCCGATCGATCTCAGTGCATTCCGTGACGGTCGTGATCGTTCCGATCGTTCTCTCAGTTTCCGAAAAGCTCGTCCAACGGGTGTCGGTGATCTCGCAAAGGCTGCCCGACGTAATCGTGCTTCCCCGTTCACCGTAAGTAATCGTTGGCTATCGAGTCTATAAAAACACAAGACATTTTATTATTAACATGCAACTAGATCGTGCGGATTTCTAACGAGAAATGCAGGGAATTAAACAGGCTGACTTGCCAAAGAGTGAAAATTGCACGGTAAAAGCATCGAATGAATTGAATAATAAATGAAATGAAAATAGATTAATAATAATCGACGCGCTGTTTAATTCCAAAGTTACTGAACCGATTAAAAGAAGGAATAACGTCTGCTTGTTTCCCGTAATTAGTGCAACAAACTTTTCGATTTGCGCGAAGATCCGCGGTCTGGTCACGCCTAACGGGCTCTCGTTTATTATGTCGGTTTTAACCATGTTGTAACCGTGAAACACATATTATGCACGGGACAGTGAACGTGGTAATCTGATGTTTGGTAAGAACGTTGTAACGATCGAACGTTGTTTGCGAATGACCAACGACGCGAATGCGAGAAACGAGCGCGGAACGTTGTTTCTCATTTCGGTCGTATCGCAGTAATTTTTCCCCAATTCGCGCTCACAAAAATATAAGATACTATTACTCGAATCTCGCAGTTCGTTTTTATAATTGTTGAAAATCGGCGACTATAAAAATGAGCGCGAATTAGGGAGAAATTACTGTATCCGAGGCCTCGCGGCTCGTTTTCATAGTTGCCGATTTTCAACGATTATAAAAACGAGGTCTTCCCAAGTTGTCCCATTTTTGTGCGCGATCTGAGCGCGAATTGGATTGAAATTATTGTAATTCCAAAGTTATGCTGGCACGCGAGTATACTAATTTATTGAACCGTGCGAGCGGTCACCCCGGTTCTTCGACGGCCGATTTCGCAGAATGGATCGCGAGCTACTCGAAAACACGGGCACCGAACTTTCTCAACTGAGCAATAGTTGAACGTAATAGTAATCGCGGCTTTAGGATGTGTAACGGGATGATTCAACGTTCGCATTGCGCCGATTTAACGCCGCGTGTGTAATTGATAATTGCGCCGGTGGAGTTTCCGAGGATCTTTGCCACTGCGTGTGATCGGATTACTTTAATACGAATCGTTTAAAGACTGCGGTTCTTTGTGGAAAATAGAAAAAAATTCCCAAGTCAATGGTGAGAAAGAGAGAACGATTAAAAATTCATTGTTTCTCTTAATAATTTCCATGAGTCAACGACTATGCAGCGGTAGTCTGAAATTCTTTCAGCATTCTTCACGGTTCTTCTATTTTTATTAAAAATACTATTTAATTTGGAATATCGAAAACAAGTCAAATGAAAAGAAATCGATCGGTATATTTTATCCAGAATAAACAAGTGTGTTCGAATGTGTCCAGTACGAAGTGTGTACAGAAGGATAGGATACCAAAGATCATGAATGTATTTATGCAAATGCAAAACATTAGCATTCGCGACAGAAGCGAAGCTGGATGGGGAAAGCGGTTCGACCGCCGGTCTCGATTGCAAAGATCCTTTGAAATTTGTTAAGTCACATATGCTTTCGTCGTTTTCAGTTTCTTTGTTCAACGCGTAGTCGCGTCCTCCGGTGGTGTGCCGGAAAAACATTTGCGAAATATTTGCGAAATAACGCGCGAAACATTTGCTTGGCCCGTAATATTTGTTCCTGCAAAAGCAAATTTCATTCCGTGAAAAAGGATAGCTGCGTGGCTGTTTCTTCGAACGGTGTGGTCACGTGTCGTTACTGACCAAGCAGTTCGATGAACATTTTAGGCCGAACGCATTGTAAATTCCGGCGCACGAGATTTAATCGAATTGTATTATTTTCTTACGAAATATTAATATTTACAATATATAATAATAAATATAAATATATTTATTATATGTAATAATAGATATAAATATATTTACAATATATAATAATAAATATAAATATATTTATTATATATAATAATATAAATATAAATATATATAATATATAATGATAAATATAATTATATATAATCCTATCAGATCCGTCATCCGAATGAAATTTCGTGTAACTCTGATTATGACAATGAAAAATGATCCAATTAGTTTGGGACAGTGTCGTTAATGGATTATGTGTGTATACTTTTAACGATGTTCTACTTAATAACTTTGACCAGGAAAGACAGGCTCAGCTTCAGTACGGATGTATGAACCAGGTCTTAAGCGGTTATCCTTGAAATGCAAATTATAAGTTCTTCACCAAAGAAAAAAGGCGGAAGAGACCTTTTACGTCTTGTGCATCTTAGTTTGTTGTTCTGCCGCATGTTGGATCGTCCGAGGAATCCGTTCCGTTTCGTGAATCAAATTGAAAGCCGACGAAAGGCAAACGAATAATAACATAACTATGCAACTATACAGCTATATAACAGTATAACTATATAACTATGTAACTATACAACTATATGACTGTATAACTATACCTATAATTATGTGAATACATAGATTATATAATTATGTAACTATACAACTATATAATTTATTTCTATACCTATAACTATGTGAATACATACATAGATAATATAACTATGTAACTTATTACTATGCCTATAACTATGCGAATACATAGACTATATAACTACGTAATTATACAACTACATAACTTATTATTATGCCTATAACTATGTGAATACATAACTACTGTTGTGCGAATATACAACCACACGCTGTGTCAATGTCAACGTCTGCGTCAATGCCTATGTGCTAGTAGTACGATTACGTAAATTGTATATAAAATATCGCATTTAATCGTTTCGACAATTATTTCGATGACGTGATTCGCTACACTAATTAAACGTGCGCACGTACCTAACGCTCTCATCTCAATCTTTCAATCTGTCTCGAGAGAAACGTCCCCCGTTACTGCTTCGTGCCAGCAAAATGCAGTTATCAGAGATTCACGAAATTTGTTCGGTGTAATTACAGAAAATGGTGTCGCAGACCACAGCGGAGGAGAGTAGAGTGGAGGAGGAGATACCCGACAGGATCGCGGAAGTTTTCAGAGACCAAAATATTTTGATCACCGGTGGTACCGGTTTCCTGGGCAAGGTCATGGTCGAGAAGTTTCTCAGATGCTTGTCCTCCGTCAAACAGATTTATCTGCTGGTGCGGCCGAAAAAGGGGAAGGACCCGAGACACCGTTTGGAGGAAATGTTCAACTCGCCGGTAAAACATGCGCGAATTCGATCTCTAAGATCGTCGACGGAAATTTAATCGACGAGCAACCGACGAACGAAAATCGAACCGAGAGAATTTGAAACGAGTGTCGCAAATTTTTGCGCCTTCTGTCCCGTGCTCGGCGAACATTGCGTATACTAACCGTGCGAAAAAAAAGAAACGCAACCGCTTTTCTAGATTTCGAACCAACACGGGTTCCTTGAGCAAACCTTTCGCCAATTACAGAAAATTAGTCAGCACGAGGTTTGTCATGTCCAGCGCTCGAAATAGGTGTGCAATTTTCTATGAAGGATCAACGGTCATGAACATGTCGTAAACATCTGTAATGAAAGACACGTTTACGGTCGGTTTGATCGAGTTCCTTCGTTTCCAGTAGAACATCGAAGTGGAAAGGAACATCTTGTTCGCTCTCGATTTGCTATTCGACCATAGCAATTGCATTATTCAAATCGGATTATGAACACCATTGGAGCTCTCTCAATTTGCCTGACGAATTTTCCGCAGCTTTCTATGACACAAAAAGTGGGGATAACAACTGTGCCGTGTTACACGTGTCTCGAACGTACCAGTCTAATCTAATTGTCGGTATAAAAAAATATGTAAAATATAATGAACGGAGTATACGACGTAGTAGTATGCGCGCAACATTATGATACCGGTACTAATTTCGTGTTTAGAATTCATTTGTTGTTTCGTTATTCCGGGACGCAATCGTAAACTTTCTTAACATATTTCATTTTATAGTTCCACAAGTTCGTGAAATTGCTATAATTATTGAACCGCGTTTCACGCTGAATAGTTGCAGAAATCGTTGGAATAATGTCCACTGTCGAAACGATCGTGTGTACGTTTTTACTTAATTTCGAAACCCCTGTTTCACAGATTTTTATTCGATGCTATCGAATGAACGCTTTTCTTCGACGGAATGAATTTATTTTAACCTCAAGCTTTATGTAATATCGAGTCGTACTAGAGAAATTATTTCAGCTCGTCACGCGTACCCGCGTATGATTTATATATATTTTTTTCCAACTAAAAATAATATATTGTTTCCGTGTTTCAACATGTCGTATATACAATATGGTTTCACAAAATTGCATAGGAATAGAAATCGGGTTGTTCAGGCTGGACTACCTTCGTTACTGAAGGTACGCTAGAAAGTGCAAGACTGTCTATAAATTGTCCGTTGATTGCATTTCGACAGGGGTTTCGTTTCATTTCGAATTCGACCATTGAACGTGCGACGCGTCGCTACTCGATTTGATTAGGATCCGCAGATCGTACAATGAGGAATTAATTGTTCAGATACCACCTAACTTTCCAATTTGGATTGAACTAAACCAAACACTTCGATTCGTCCCAATATTTCTTAACATACAAATATGACGTCTCGTTAAGTTTAAATAAATTTTCATCATACTAGTATGGCCTCTACTTTGAAAAGCGACGAAATCAATGTTAACGAATAAATAATTGGTTCGTGTTCTATTTACAAATTCTGGGTACATTACGTAACGTACGCTTGAAAGGAAGTCGCGTGCGAAATAAAATTAACAAACTCCGATATGGAAGCACATCGCAGTGTTCCATTTTCTGCATCGTGTTAAAAGAGCGAAAACGCGTGAAACCGAGTCAAGGCCTCCAGCTCGTAGAGGACGAGGTACGCCGGTGCTATCATTATTATCAAGACTGGAATTTGTCTAGTACTACCTGGTGAAAGTTGGCTCGCGTGTGTTACGTTGTATTCATCTATCCTAGGTAACAGCCAGATTCCGCTGTGACGCGATTGCGGGACACCTGGCCAGGCTATTGTACTACAGGTCGTTTCATAATTCTGCCATTTTTACAGCAGCGAAATCGGCCACAATGTTACGATCGCAGGGATATGCAATCCTCGTGTTTAATAGCCTCGGAAAGTCGTCGGAATTTCTCTGGTTGGCCAAGATGCTCCTGCGGCTCGCATTTCATAATTTCGACTTAATACCGATCAATGGTGCGCCGGGACATCATTCGATTAGAGGTAAATCACCTGTATCGAACCGCTGAAGTACGCCCCTCCGGTAAGTTAATCCCGCGAAGGTACATTTCTTCGTCGTTCGAATTTTGGATCGGTCGGATAGGCCACGAACTGCGTGTACAGTAATGTCGAAACACCTAATGCATGGTGTAAATCTCTCCCCGAGAGGAGGTCAAATTGCATCATGTGAAAGAAAGTTGAGTCAGTTCACATGTTCGCGTTCTATAGGCGTTTAACGATCACAGTTTTCCCTGTAAAATGGAAAATCGGCAAATGAACCATCTAGCTGGTACAGCTTTGTTGGCGTGTACGCGAAAATCCTCGTCACGGGATAATGAAACAGAACACCCAAGGTGTAACTCCCAGATGTAACATTGCTTTAAGTTCGACTTACTTGGCAAAAACTTCAATGTAAAAAGTTTCTGTTCCATTTCAATTTTCCTACGGCGTGACTTGAACACATTAATTAGCATAAACAGGCGCACGGTATTAATTATCGCTGTGAAGGAATAATTGTTGCGCTAGATTTACGAACGTAAAAACTGTAATAATCATCACACCGGTGATTATTTTGTCAGATACTGGGACACAATCAAGCAACATCATCTAATACTAGACACGCAAATTCAACTAAAAAGGGAGAAACGTATGGTCGTGTTACGTATTTTTCTTCGTACGAACAACAACTGATGTCACGTTGCTCTTATTGAATCGATGAATGACGTTGTTTCAATGGAAGTATCGTCTTACTTAGGATCAACAATTCACCTCATGTTTATACTAACAAATTATAATAAATGCTGAGACAAATAAAAAGAGAGTTAACGCCGTGCAAAGCTTTTGATTCAAATACAGTTGACGTGAGTTAATGCTTACTTGTTGCAGCTCTTTGATAAAGTTAAACAGGAAAGAGGATTAGCGGAACTTCATGAGGCTGTGACAGTTGTAAATGGGGATGTATCATTGCTTGGTCTTGGACTCTCTGCTGAAGACAAGAAGATGCTTTGTGAGAACATTAACATTCTATATCACGGTGCCGCCACAGTAAGGTATTGTAGCAGAATGTAAAATAAATGTACAACTTCGGCGGTGAACTACATTTAATCGTAACTACGCAACGATATTAGATTCGATGAGCTACTGAAAAAGGCGGTACTGTTAAACACTCGTGGCACGAAGGAAACGCTACAACTTGCTAAGGAGATCAAACACTTGAAGCTGTTTGCTCACATCAGCACTGCGTATTGCCATTTAGAAGAAAAGGTATAATACGTTATGTTAAAACTGTTCGAAAATATGTTAAGAAATGGTTAGTCTTTCATTTTTAAAAGACTATTAAATCATTGTCACTAGGAATGATAATACTATTTGGTTTGCATTTGTTTCCTTAGACCAAAATTATTTATATACCTACCTATATTGAAATATCTTATCAATTTTCTTTTTTTTTGATTTTAGGTCTTGGGAGAAAAACCTTACCCTCCACCAGCGGATCCTCACAAAGTTATCAAGTATGTAGAATGGATGGATGACGATGTCATCGAAGCAATGACTGACAAAATTCTAGGAGGACTTCCTAACACATACGCCTTCACGAAAGCCTTGTCCGAAGGACTCGTTGAAGAGGCCATGCCGCATATTCCAGCCATTATATTAAGGTAAAAACATGCAAGTGTTATCTGCAGAATTACAAAATAGGTATTTTAAAGTATACACTATTTAATTACATGTTTAATCATAGGCCAAGTATAGTTATACCTGTTTGGAAGGAACCGGTACCAGGATGGACGGACAATATCAATGGACCGACAGGACTTTTAATTGGAGCTGGAAAAGGTGTTATACGGACAATGTACTGCAACGAAACTGGTTACGCAGATTATCTACCGGTTGATATCGCTGTTAATGCTATACTGACATCTTCATGGAATTTCATTTATTTCAAAGATTATGAGAAAAGAGTTTTCAACCTTACCAGCAGTAACGAATTCAAAGTAGGTTCTCCTTTCTAAAACAACATAGCGTTGTTGATACTGCAACTACACGCATGAATATTGTTAGCATTAAAAATAATTTGAATACAAATTTTAGGTATCGTGGGCAGAGATTATTGCACGGGGTCGAAAAATAACTGAAAGAGTTCCTCTAAACGGTGTTGTTTGGTACCCAGGTGGCAGCATGAAAAAATCAAGACTCCTGCACAACATATGTGTGTTACTTTTTCATATGATACCAGCTTATTTCATAGATGCGCTTATTTTCCTCGCAGGGTACAAACCGATGTAAGTATAATAATGATATCCGTAACTTAACATAAGTAAACTAGATAACTGTTATTTTATACAGTATGTGCCGTGTGCAACGTCGTATACAAAAAGGATTCGAAGTCTTTGAGTACTATGCTAATCATCAATGGGATTTTGATAATTCGAACCTGTATGTAATTAGAGATCGGCTTAATCAAACAGAGTATAGAAAATATCAGCTGCATGGTGATGACATGGATATTGATGAATATTTCGAGGCTTGTATAAGAGCTGCAAGGGTTTTCATTTTAAATGAACCACCAGAGACACTACCAGCTGCTAGAAGACACTTAAGAATGTAAGACTTTTGATTTTACGACTTCCAATTATATAGTTTTAATTGAAGCTAATCCTGAAGATAATCGATCTTTAAATTGCAGCATGTACTGGGTTGATGTATTCACGAAGATAACTTTCTTCGTCTTCTTGATGTACTTATTCGCATGTTGGAGTGAAAGCTTTAGAGCACTCCTGATAGGAAGCTGGACAATTATGAAACAGGCAGTGTCCGATTAGACAACACATTAATTAGTTTGTAACACTTCTAGTACCTTTACATTTGTAATATAACCAAATAAAATTACGATTGTATTTTTTAATAATTGTCAATCTGTATTCATTGCATTAATGATAAGGTGCATAATATCAAAATATTTTCGATAATAAATATTTACTATTAAAATGAAACTTCTTCTCTTCATTATTTCATGACCTTTCTTTGTTTCTATCCCAATACGCTAAAGGTAAAAGATAGAAAGAATGGCAACAATTTCTACACTGAACGTGTCTTTTATTTATATCAAATATCGAAATAGAATTACTCCCTTAAACAGATTCCTGTACTGGCGGTTCATAACCTTCTGGTCTATCGACCTTTGAACCACTTTCGCCTACTTCCTCAGTCTTACTCCCTGCGCTGTCCCCATGAAGTTCCAACAGTTTGCTTAGTTCAAAACGCGGTTTCTTCAATACTTTCACCTGTCAAGAGATGCAATTATTATTACGAACACTGTTATTAGAGCTGTAGTTATGATAATGTACAAGTTAATGACATGTGCAAACATACTTTGCGAATATAGACATCATGAAGTGGATAGATTCCTTGCGAAGCCTTCTCAATGTCTTTAGCTGTAGCATCTGGAAGAAGTTTACTGACAACACCCTTTAAGTCACTCTTTGTAACATCATTGGTGATTGTGTCCACCATCTTTTGCCTAATTTTCTTCACCTAAACACAAAAAGACAGGTAAATGATATTGTATTAAATGTTCATACTTTATATAAAATTAATCAATTGTTGCAACATTCGAATATCATTACTTCTTATTTCAGAGGTAATGTGGTAAGCAAGTGCACAATTTCTATTGCAAAACCGGAAGCATGAAAGCAGTATAATACTCTCATGTATATAGATTTGCCAGTGTTCAAAATAAAATTAAACAAATAAAATTACAAACCTGTGCATGTTGAGCATAGCATGTCTTCCTTGTGCTCAACTGATCTTTGTTGGTAAAACCAATACAGAAAACTCTGAGAAGATAGCCATCAGTAGTTTTTACATCGACGTTAGCTTCGATCAGAGTTTGCCATTTCTTAACCATAGACCTCAATTTGTCAGTGGTCAAGTCCATACCATGGAAATTAGTTAACACATTGCGATGTTGAACATCTTCTGCGATCAATCTGAATTTACGAAAAGACCTCTCTGCATCTCCATCATTTTGCAAGTCAGCCAAAGAGACTTCGAATACTCTGTACTTCAGTCCTTCAGATGCAATCTCTATACAATGCAAAACAAATGTCATTAACAAAAATATTATTTGAGAACAGGAAAATTAAACTATGAAATAGTTTAATTTTAGTTTAATTAAAACTATAAAATAGTTTAATGAAAACTATGAAAATTTGTGGCAACATCTAGCTTTGATATTACTTTAAAGCAATACCGTTGGCTTAGAGTCTGCAATTTCTTTCGCAACACGAAACGCCACACAAAGTGATGGTAACACTATCATGGAGCTGGGGTTGCATGTAAATTTAAGTTTCCGTAATGTCTTACTTGTTCCTTGGGTTCTGTTAACCAACGTTTTGCCAACATGACGGTTGGTGAACATAGACGGTGCCTTAACATCATACCAATCCTTACGGGTGAAAGGATCAACACTATAAGAAAAACACATTTAGGTTAAGCTTTTCTTCAAGATTAGAATAACGAATTATACATATTATTGAAGAAAAAAAACACAAAAATAATTTATGTATAAATTGCTAGCTATGTGACACGTTTTACACGCGACGTATTAGATATTTCATACAGTATCAATATATTGAATCAGATAATATCAACGTGGTGTTCGTATTAACTATCTACGTAAAAACCGGGAATATGAACTAAGGACATTACTTTAAATATGCAATTGATTTTTGAGAAAGTAATATACATAGTTAATAGCGTATTTTCACTCAAATTAAAAAATTTTGTCAAAGGCAAGGTGCAAATCGTAGAGTGGATTCTGAACATTCAAATTTCAGGTGTACGAAATCTGTTTTAATTTAAAACATCCTGCTAGGTAGACCGCGATATATTAACTTTTTATCAGATCGAAGGTTTAAAGTTCAAAAGAAACATATTATAATTTACTTACATCTTCTTCTTCACTCCCTTTTTACCTCCTTTCGACAGTCCCTTATTCTTACCTACCGCCATGACTGAGGTTACAGGCGGAAAGAAGCATGCTCACACTTACCGGAAACTGGTAGAGCGATCTACGAGTTGTCGGTAAAACGTACGTAAATGCTGATTGGCTGTTGGACTTCTACCTGCATTTATATTTTTAGCAATTGTTTTTCAAAAGTAGCTGACTTGTTAAATTTTGTTTGATAATTAAAACTTACAAATTGCAATAAAATTTTATGCACTTATTTCCCTTATTTCGTTTACTTTAAAACATATAAGATACGTATAAAAAGAGTGTCATACAAAAATTATTTATATCGATGCAAATAACGTTATTATTAAAATTTTAGTGCAACACTCTGTTTATTACGAATATTACTAAGATTTTGAAACTATTAGAATGTAATAAATTCATTCTTTCTAATATTTCATTATGCATTGCTTGTTTCGAATGCAAACACATACATACATGTACGTGTAACATCGCATACGTATTGTAATATCAAAAATGATAGTGTACATCGTAATATTACTTTAAAAAGCATATCCATGTAACACATTGAAAGTCAAAGTTTTTCAAACGTTCAAGAAAATGAATAACGTTCATGAATTTTGTTTTACTTACAAAACTTTTCCATCGAAATACTTCTGAAACCTATTTTAGATTGCAATGATCTTTAATCTGTTATCGTTTTAAAGTGCCTGAAGCATGTAACAACCGTGCACGTAATAAATCTTATGCATTGCATTTTGCATGTGCATTTCAAATAAGTACGAAGTTCTCTGCTAACGTTTAAGTTAGTTGTAACTCGACGTATCGAGTGTCGACAGCTGCTTGCCTTCGGCTGCTTTCAGTGCAATTCGAATTTTCGCGTGCGAATCGGTGGGATTTATTTTTTCTTTTCGTCTGCAAATGCAGAGCTCACTGTTCGTGTTCTTCCGCGATAAACTCTGCGGTAAATGAAACGATTTTCGGTGGGATGCGTTTATACGCGACGATCATCGCGAAGGTTTACGTCAAGTAGTTGGCCTACAAAACGTTTCTGATAATCATGAATCTGCAAACACTCTTTCAAGACTTCAATCCAAGGTAAATCCTCGCGCGTGAATTATATGGATTTTTCTCAAAGCTAGAGATTAACGACGAATCTAATGTTCGATATGAAAATCTTATATATATATATATATATAGAGTGGTATGTAAAATAAATGAAAAGAATGTAAAACAAGGAACATTACTCTATGTATTTACAGAAACATTTATCGTCAAGTGCGTGATGAGATTTCGTTTTTCGTTATAAATTAGCGCTTGTATAGATGATTTGATAAATAGTTTAAATCTATCTATAACCGTATCATAATATTTCTTAATAGTTTAATTTTAGTTCGGGTTGTACTTTATAAATAGGTCAGACGCTTAATTTAAACAAATGCCTGTCTTTCTTTATGCAGCAAATTTTGTCAATGTTACGAGGTTCTTGACCTTAGTCGCGAGTCAGCAAAAATACTTAATTGTTTTGAACATTTGTACATTAAAAGTATATTTTGTACGATCAGTGCAGTTATTTTTCTCTGTGTTAAATAATTTAATTGACAATTTTTGGAGATGCTTGTGTTTTATTGACTCTTGTTTTTTAAGATCACATGAATACATGTTTCAAGACCTAAATGTTTTTTAAATTTTGAAATCAGTTGTCTATATAATAAAATATTTGTTAACTAATTTTATTCATTTATATTGTAGCAAATTTTTAGTGCATTGCTGTTTGATGATATTTACATCGCTGTTTGCTCTTCGGCTGGATGGTTTTATAGAATGGAATTATTGGTGTGTCTTTACGCCAATATGGTTTTGGAAGAGTATGGTAATTTTGGGTGCTACTGTTGGAAGTTATGTTTGGTGGAGACACCCGCATGCAAGACTGGAAGGAGATGCCTATGTACATTACAAGGCAATGTTAATTACTTTGGCATTACATTTGATCCTGTTAATGTTTGAATTGTTAGTATGTGATAAATTAGAATCTGGGAGGCACCTTTGGATACTTGTATTTATACCACTGATCTTCATTTCTATAGTATCGATAGCAGTGAGTATACCGAAATTATATGCAGCACTGGCTAGAAGTATGAAATAAGTATTTACAATTACAATTTGAATAGCGTTGGTTGGGTCCATTTCACCAAATTACTCAAAAACTATATTTAAAAATTATGAGCTTTTTAATTATGTGTGTATTTTTTATCTTTTATATTATAATGAATGTTGTAATCATGTACATGAAATATAATTGTTTGTTTCATGGTTATCTTATAGAAACAAAGAAATGAGAGATTATGCTACAGAGTATTACTATAAGATAGTTACTAAGCCATTGTAATTGTTAATGTAAACAGAGTTGACTAGTTACATATTTACTTTTGTATAAAATATGGCTTGAATTGAGCTGTCATACTTTTAGTCAGTGATATATATTTAGGAATTATATAAATTAATTCTCTACAAATATAAATATGTTGCATTTGCAGGTATGTATTTGGGCTGCAAAACATGATCGATCATTTGAACTTGAACTGTTCTGTGCAGTTAATGTACTGCAGTTTATTTTCTTGGCATTAAGGCTAGATCATTTTATATTATGGAGTTGGGAAGTAGTATTTGTGCCTGTTTGGACACTTTTAAGCTTGTCCCTAGTGGCTGTGCTATATGCGATAGTATTTGCAGCTGTTTTATTAAGAGCACCACAGGTTACTGCCAGACAGAGGCGAACATCTTTAAATTCTGCATTGGCATACACATTTCTTGTGGTTCCAATCTCTGTGTTCCAAGTAAGAAGAATGATTATTTTGATAAAATAATGACAAATGATAAAATTCATTGACATTGGATTTTATTCTATTGCAGGTGTTATTAGCAAACAAATTAGATGGAGATATTTCATTAAATTATACTACAGTAGCTATGCCGCTTTTAATATCTCATATAACACTTATTTTTATGTCTTTTGATGCAAAAGGTGGAAACAGATGTAAGAAAGATTCATTTCATTTCATTTAAAATTTGAAATAATGTTAATCAGCAATAATCATTCAACTTAATTAATTTCAGGGTGGTTTGGCATTAGGAAGGATTTTTGTCATTTTTTATTAGGATTATGTCCATTACTTCAAGAATATGGTAATATTTCATACCAGCCAAGAAGTGATCAGGATCAACCACCATCTGAACCAATGGTTTCAGATAAAAATGAAAAACATGTTAAGAAAATCGACCTAACAAAACCTGTTGTACCTATAATTTCAATCGATATGCCTGATTGATTATTTTTATCTAGGTTTGTATGAATTATTATTAAATTTCCACATATTTGTGACTTGGACATGCTCACGATTTAGTGTAACTAAAAATTGTTTTATCAAATTGATAATGTGGCAACCATCTTACAGGATTGATTGGAGTATTTAAAATATTTGTACCGATATGACTGGTTAATACCAAGAGTCACATCTTTTCAAATAACAGACAGGTGCATATACATAATAGTGAAGTCTATTATAAAAAAGGGGGAAACTATTATCTTCAGTACGACATGTCGTAATGAAAATCTTGTTATTGTTAAACTCATTGTGCGCCAAGGCAATCAGAACTATCCATTAAAATATTATCCTATTTTGTTCCTGGGGCTAAAAAAAAGCCTTTTGCAGTAACTAAAGATTTTGATAGGGGGAACTCTACAAAATTTTTTATGATCAATTAAGATGACCTGTAAGGAACAAAAATTTTGTTATCAATGCTAGATCAACGGCCCCTCGAGCAAATTTAGCAGTCGCAATGCTCAAAATGAAAATCATTATGTCTCTTAAAGCTGCATTAATTTTTTATGTGTATTCGAACACTTACACGTAGGTGGGATTCTGCAATATATGGACTTGTTCAAATCTGTGCTGTATCATTTTTTAATTTAAACAAAATGTCGTCGGGTAATGTGAAACTGATAGTGAAATAGGACAAGTTTCAATGAATCCACTTATTGCAGGTTTCTGGTGTAGAATAAGAGTAATCGACCCGTCCATTTCTTTGATTGATCCTTCGTAACGATATAAGATAATTGTCGACCTATTTTATTATGCCTGTTAATAGTGAAATTACGTAATGATAGTATTAATATTACTTTGCCAAAAGTAGTAGTTACAAAGAATGGTGAACATGCCTAAGCTGGTGCTAAAAATTAACAATACTTTAGACATGTTTTACATGCGACTAAGACCTGTGTTTAAAATTTCGTTTAATTCTTAGTACACCGTGATCTGTATAAAGCGAAGTTTCATTTATAATTACTTATATTTTAAACCAACTTACGATGTAAATAGCACACCAGATTACAGGACTAAGTAATGTTGTACAGGCCACATTTAAAAGAAATTGTTGTGTATATAGTTAAGTCTCGGATAACGAATGATTATCTAATGTTTAGTTGACTTAAAATTAATAAGTATTGCGTCATATATATAAAGATAAAGTAATAATATAGGACACACGAATACTGCGTACAATATATACATGTAATATAATCAAACATTATATTTGCAATTGATCAGTTCAGCTTCCCTTGTTTCTAATACGAAATTACAACACAAACTCCAGCATTGAACGAGACTTAACTGTACGATGCATATAGCAAATAGAATGGAATTATTGTAATTAATGATCGAAGGGATCGTAAATGGGGTACGTTATTCAAATTATCTTATATGCCAGTTTTCCTTTTGTAAAAATGCTTCACGTATATTCGAACCCCTTTTTAAATAATTTTTAATTTACTACGCATATTTATGTCTGTGTTCATGACAAATAAGTTGACAACACATAATTAGAAACAAGAGCCATATATTTATATTAGAATAATTTTTGTACGTGTTCCTAAAATGTTTGCAATATTTTTTATTAAAATATTCATATATTGATATTAGTAGATGGTCATTTTGATGCGTGCGTCAAACATATTCAAAGGACTCTGTTACTTTAAGCGATAAATTTAGATTTAAATTCTTTTGTATGTTTACAACTCGTGAGTTGCTTGAAAATACCAATGAATAATTAGTGCATTTCCTAATTAATAATATAACAAGTACGCGTCGTTGTTATATACCAAATAATTTAAATTTTACCGTATTTTATTGAATTAATCGATTCTTTCAACAAACAGAGAAACAACACAATGTTCGGAGATTGAAATTATTCGGAATTAAAGTAATATTATATGTGTGTGTATACGTTTATGTTGTGCGCGTCGTTTTATACTGAAATTTTATTGTAATCGTGAAGACTTTCATTTACTAGAATCTGATAAAGTAAGAATGTGCGGTTCATGCAAAGGATTTCGAATAAACCTACGAGGAACGGAAAGCAGGTGCAATGTACCTGGTAACGTATTTCAATCTTTGAACATGTTCATGAAACTGCAGAAATATTTGTTCGATAAGTTGTGCGTTACGTATGCATTGTAAAATTAAAAATTTTAGAACACAAAGGATATAATCCAAGATTTTTGAACGTACTAACATGGTTTGTTGTATATGAAGCGTAAATTGTTCAAATATTAGGTTTGTAATCGGCCTTAATGGGACAAGAGATCGGATATATCGGCTAGGAGACAAGACTGAGCACTTTGCATCTTTAGAATAACATCGGCAAGATGTAAAAAGAAAAAACAAATATTCGCGCGACTTTCAAGAAGAGACGTTTAAAGATAAGAGCATTAATTGTTAACGTTAATAGATACCATTAATTATTAAGTATATCCAATCATTTATTGTGTTATGATGTAGAAATAATGTACATAGTCTGTTGTATTACAATAACATTATAGACTATATTATTAATTATTGTATATTATACATATCTACCATGAGAGAGAGAGAGAGAGAGAGAGAGAGAGAGAGAGAG